TAACCAGATGTAGGCTGGACCCCTGTGGGGTTTGGTAGCACGCTAATGATACACATAACAATACGAATGAATCTCAAAAACAATATGTGGAGGGTAAGGACCCGTATACAAAAGAGCACTTACTGATTCCATTCATATGAGATTCAGTAACACACAAATCTAATCAATAGTTATCAGAATAGTGGTTCTAGGAGCAGATGATTAAAAAGGAACATAGGCCGGGCACAGTGGCTCATGCCTGTAATCCTAGAACTCTGGGAGGCTGAGGGCAGGAGGATTGCTCAAGGTCAGGAGTTCAAAACCAGCCTGAGCAAGAGCGAGACACCGTCTCTACAAAATAGAAAGAATAATTGGCCAACTAAAAAATATATAGAAAAATTAGCCGGGCATGTGGCGCATGCCTGTAGTCCAGCTACTCAGGAGGCTGAGGCAGGAGGATTGCTTGAGCCCAGGAGTTTGAGGTTGCTGTGAGCTAGGCTAACACCACGGCACTCTAGCCTGGGCAACAGAGTAAGACTCTGTCTAAAAAAAAAGAAAAGAAAGGAACATAAAGGAACATCCTGGAATGATGATGAGAAAGAAAAAAACCTTTTAGCTGAGGAATGCCAGCCTTCTCTAAGTTATCTGATCCAGAGAGGTGTTGGAATGAGGCAACAGTCACATTCTACTTCCTCCTGGAGCTAAGTAATCATCTCTTGACTTAGAGCTGCTTGCTCTTACCAGTAGTAACTATAAACTAACCTAACAATGCCACACGCATGCTGGACGCCAAACCCATACAATGTATAGCCAATCACTTGAGGACTGAACTCTAATCTTTTTTTTTTCCTCCTGCCCAAATTCCTTTCTAAGAAATCTGGTAAGTCACATCTACAAACAATAAAATCTCATTAAATGGGTTTTTATTAATGCAGTATAATGTGACTTACTTTCCAACCTGGTTCTGGTATAGCATCACATGACAGAGAGAAGACTTCGTTGTCTTAACTCAAGCATTCCTTTCTACTGACTCCAGGTCTTTAGATGACGCTTAACTCTTTCAATCAATTACCAACAAAAGAATCCCTAAAACCCACTTATGACTTGTAAGCCCCCACTTCAAAATGTCCCTTTTCAGTCCAAACCAATGTATACCTTTGATGTATTATTGATTTATGGCTTTACCTATAATTCCTGTCTCCATGCATATGTCAGGTTTCAGTCTGAAATGTCAGTTCTTGACGCACTCATGGCCGAAGAATGACCAGACACACCAAAGTAAGGCAAGCATGAAAATGAGGTTTATGGAGGGGAGACAGAAGATTATAGAGCAAGAGCAAGATATAGGTTTACAGAGCGTGATACCTACACCACAGATGACAACCAGATTCATTGTCACAGCAAAGGGAGAACAAAAGGAAGGGGACAAAAAGGGTTGGCTATGGTCTGTGTCTTGTTTTATAGTGCCCAGATTGGGACCTCCCTTGTGGCTCAGACATCACTATGGGACAACTTTGATTAGACAGTTGGGAGTTGCATCTCTACACATGCAGGTTGTTCTAGGACAATTTCCAGACTCTAGGGTACCTATGCAGCTTGGCTCGTGGGCAAGAGAGTCTTCTGCATTCTTTTGCAGCTGGCGTGCTAAGTTCTGATCGGCAGGTTTGTAGGGCATTCCCTCTTCCGTCAGGTATGGCAGTAGCTCAGGGCAGGGTTAGGCTGGGGCAGGACCAAGATGGGGGCCTGGGGCCCACCTTTGTCCTTCCCAGGTGCAGCAACTGTACCAAGGCAACAGTACCTACTTTTGTCCCTAGGAGACCCAGAGTCCCTCACCATATACTTAACAAATGCATAAAACCAAACTGTAACCTGGCCACCTTGGGTACATTTTCTCAAGACCTCCTGAGACCCTGTTCCCTGGGCTGCGGTTTCACATATTTGGCTCAGAATAAACCTCTTTAAGTTATCCTACAGAGTTTGGGTTTTTCCATCAACACACTAATCAATGTTATTTCTGTAAACCAGTGAGAATTCCTGACAAACAACTTTATATCAGGCAACTCCTAGTCCCCTTTTTTGCCTTTAAAAACCTGCTGAAACAAAGGCCGAATGGAGCTCATGTCCGAGGTTACTGGTGTCTAATTCTTCTGGGCAGCTGTCCTCGTTTTGGCTCAAGTAAACTCTTTAAAATTTTACTACGTTTCTCAGTTTTGTCCATTTAGGTTGACAGTGGAAATGTTCTCTATCATTTGGGGGATGTTAACATAAGGGACACATCTATTAAAACTCATAAAGTTGTACAATATAATCTGTGCATTTTACTATATATAAATTATACCTCTAAAGAAGAATCTAGAAATACATTGAGATAATACAACCATGTAAACATAAGCTTTTAACCTTAGTTTTAAAAAATGAATAGAGAAGGAAGCAATGAGCTATGGAAAAGTAGAAATTAATAATTTAATCTAAATAATAACTTTTAAAAATCTATATTCATAACAATCCAGAAATAAAGCTCCACATGATATAAACTGAATTCATTAGAATAAAGTTTTTCTATGAGCAACTAAGATCCAAGATGACAGTGGCTTCATTAAAAATGAATCTTATTTCTCTGTGCATAAGGGCTGTAACAGCAGCCTTATGAATTCCAGGGAGCCAAGTTCCTTATAAATTGTTGTTGCATAACCTTAGCATGTTCTTCACGTCCCAAGATGGTTGCTCACACTCTAGCCACCATGTGCAGAGTCCAGCCAAGAGAGAAGAAAGGGATGAAGAACAGCTTGGCCTCCCTTTAAGGATATTTCCCAGAATTCACAACTAACATTTCATATCCACTTGGCCAGAACTTGTGCCACACCTGGAGATAAGAGAGGCTTACAAATGTAGTGTTTATTCTGATCCACTATTAATAATATATGCCCAGAAGGAAGGGAAGGCGCTAGCAGAGACGATTACCAATCTCTACCAGTCTTTATTTGCCTAGTCACATGGACTTTCTTTCCATATGGAAAACACAACAATCCTTCCCTAAAAGGAGGCAAATTCAAAGTGTCCTGAACAAAAAAAGGAACTGGGAACAACGCAGTGCTCTGGGTCATTACAAAGAGCTACCCTGGGGCCACAGGGTAATGAGGGAAATAGGCTGGACACAGTAAGCAACCCAACTTAATCATCTCCCTGAGCCTCAGCTCTGTTTTCCAGAGCCTGACTAAAGCAATCTGGTGCTCAAGGCTCCACTACCTGGAGAAGAAAGGTCAGAGAGAGGCAGGAAATGGAGGATGCAAATTTGGCATGGTGCCCTGACCCCTCTCGTGTTTCCAGTCTCTCTCCCTTCCTCCTTCCCAGTGCAGTACTAGCAAACTCAGCTACAGATCTCCATGTGGAAATGCTGATGGGTATGGGGAATGTGAACTAAAATAAACTCTACCCTGCCCCTCACACCTACTGAACAGGCCCCCTCTTGGCCAAGGGGACCCCAGAAAACCCTTAAAACTTAGTTCCCAGCCATGAAGGTGTTTTATTCGAGATTCACAAGGCCGCAGGACAAAGAGACAGAGTCACCGAGGCTGTAATTACCAAAAGGAGTTTTATTGTGTAGCTCGAGCTAGGGTCCAAGCCCCCAGAGTGCCAGCGCAGTGGCCTCTTCACCGGGCAGGGACCCTCCTTTGTGTATTAGTCCCCTTTTATAACTTAGTTGTTTACACACTGGTCATGCATCCGCCCCCACAGTGATTCTTACTTCAGCCTGCCCCTGATAGGCCCTAACCTGTTCCGGGTCCTAGCTGAGAGACTCCGGTTTCTGCTCTCTTTGTCTTTTTCTACTGCATCCCATAATATACTCATAATGCCTTGCGGTCAGCAAACAAGCAGTAAACAGAAGCTGGAAGGTGTCTATTGTCCTTATAGCCCAGTATCTTACAGAAGGGAAGCGAGGTCAGATAGGCCTCAGACAATAAGACACTAAATTATTAAGGAGACCTAAGGCCATGCAGAGCAAAGGTTAAATCACGGGCAAGCCATCAATTTCGTTAATATTGTGGCCTGTCTCTGATTAACAGACTTCCTTATCTTAAACTTCAAACATTCCAAGCCTTTAGACAGAGCTTTATTTCTTTAACCAATTACAAATCAAAGAATCTTTGAACCTACCTATCACCTATACACCCCCAGCCCTTGGAGATGTCCTGCCTTTTCAGGCCCAACCAATACACACCTTCCATATATTGATGTATGATTTGACCTGCAATTCCTGTCTCTTTAAAATGTGTAAAATCAAACTATAACCCAACCACCTCAGGACAACTTGCTCAAGACTTCCTGAGCATGGCTCCCAGGCTATGGTCACACATATTAGGCTCAGAATAAAAGTCTTTAAATTATTTTATAGAGTTTGGGGTTTTTTCCTGTTAGTAGGAACACAGACAGCAGAGTACAACTTTCTAAAACCATTGTCCAACTCACATCAGGGAAGGCAGAGGCCTCCCCTCTCACTCTATGATTTAAAAAGAGTCATCGGTCGGCTCACGCCTGTAATCCCAGCACTCAGGGAGGGGAGGCTGGCGATGCCCAAGGTTCAGGAGTTCAAAACCAGCCTGAGCAAGAGCAAGACCCTGTCTCTACTATTAAAAAATATAGAGAAATTAATTGGCCATCTAAAATATATATAAAAAAATTAGCCGGGCATGGTGGCGCATGCCTATAGTCCAGCTCTCGGGAGGCTGAGGCAGGAGGATCGTGAGCCCAAGGAGTTAAGGCTGTAGCTAGGTGCTGACGCCACAGCACTCACTCTAGCCTGGGCAACAAAGTGAGACTCTGTCTCAAAAAAATAAAAATAAATAAAAAATAAAAAGAGTCATCAACATTTTCCTAGTTTAACATGGGATAAGTTCTCTTCAGTGTCCCCAACCCCCAGCCCAGTAGAAATGTAGAACACACAGGAGATTCTCTAAACGTTTTTTATTCAGGTGATTTCTGAAAACTGCACTCCATAACTATCTCAAAACAACGTGGGGGTCCCTGGATGTGGCCCCTAGGACACTGAGGAAGGGGGTGCCAAGAATGGGTCACCCCAACAGGGCTTGTGTGGCAGAGGCTGTCCACTCACACATGGATCCACAGTGGGGCACAGGGGAGCTTCTCCCAGCCCCAGACGACTGAGCCACATGTATTCGAGGCCTCGCACCTCTGCAGGGACCTGGCAACGCCTCCTTCACTCTCTCTGAGCAATCACCAAGCTGACTGCTTCACAAAGTCTCAGGTGAGAGCCCTGAAACCACGACCAGGTCTAATGCTTGCTTCACCGTTGGTGGTGTCTCTTCTTTGGCAGATGTTCTCCGAGATGGCGATGAGTCATCACGCCCCACCTGGCAGGTCCTGGCCCCTTAGCTGGCATCGGTTCGTCCCCTCCTTCCCACCAGGCAGAGCATAGCCCAGGTGTAGGGGTGGCCAAGGCAGGTGACCGGAGCACCAGGCAGGGGCACTTTCCAGGCCCCAGTCTCCCTGCCATGCTCGCTTGTGTGGATCTCCAGAGGGCCAGGGGATCACAACTGGGATTTGAGGAAAGGGCGCGGAGAAGGAGCAGGAGGTTGGTCGGAGGAGATGCCTAAGTTTGAGACTCAGAAACAGGAGGGTAGTGTGCTGGGGCCATCATGGAGTCACCAGGATGCCCAGGGGCTGCACAAGGCACAGGAGTAAGATGAGGAACACCACCGAATACAAAGAGGTAGCCTGGTTCACCACTGCAACCAGCCACTTGCTGTAGAAACTAACATCTGTGTAAACTCCAGGTATTCCTTCACGACCACAGCCCATGCCCCAGCTCACAACCCCCACTTGGACCCATGTGTCATTATATTCACAGGCCATTGGGCCCCCAGAATCTCCCTGGAGAAAAAGAAAGAAAGAAACTTCAAAAACGGAACAGGACCCACATCAAAGCAGGCTGATTACACTACAAGGCGCTAGGGGGCAGGCACACACAGGGCTCCCCTGGCACCTCCAAGGCCCCATCAGGCCCAGGTCTCTGGGAATATGTGAACAAGGGAACTGAAAATTTGGCCAGGCATAGTAGCTCACGCCTTGTTGTCCCAGCACTTTGGGAGGTCGAGGCAGGAGGATCACTTGAGGTCAGGAGTTTGAGACCAGCCTGGGCAAAATATCGAGACTCTGTCTCTATAAAAAATAAAATCAACTAGTGCGGTGGTGCGCGCCTGTGGTCCTAGTACTGGGGAGGCTGAGGTGAGAGGATCCCTTGAGCCCAGGAGTTTAAGGTTTCAATGAGCTATGATCACGCCACTGCACTCTAGCCTGGGTAGCAGAGGGAGATCCCATCTCTAAAATAAATAAATAAGAAAAAAAGAGAAAAGTGAATGGGAAAACTTTAATATCCTCTGAGGAAATTGTGACTGGTCATTTTACAAACCACGGTGGTTGTTACACATTTTGGATATCACCTCCACCCGGCAGCTCCATGCAGGGGGCTAAATCCTCACATTTTCCAGTTTCTCCAGAGCTCCTAATCTATATAGCCAGCTCCCTCCACATTCTATGTTCCACTCTCAGACATCCTACACATGCTGACAAAAGCATAACTCTGTGTCATTTCCCAAACCTGCTCTGGTGGCCCCGTCACCGACTCCCTCAGAAACGCAAGGTCAAACTCTCCCCCACCCCAGCCCCACATGCAGTCAGGCACCAAGAACCAAAGATATGGCCTCAAGCACCCTTTCATGTGCCTCACTGCCCCAGGAACTGCTTGGCACTCAATTCATCACTGCCAGATGAGGAAAACAAGCTCCTAGACTTCAGCACATGCCCACACAGCTCAGGGACTCATTTATCTAAAAGGCAACTCTGATCATACTCACCCAGCCCCACCTCTCAGGTCCTGCCTGAGCAAAATCTAGAAACTTGGTGCAGCATTCCAAGCTGCACATATTTTGACTCCAGTCCACTTCTTTGGCCACATTTTCTACCTCATTGCTCCAAAGGTGTACAATGTTTCTTGGATATGACAAGTTCCCTCAGACCTCTGAGCTGCTGTACATGCTATTCCCTCTCCCTACAGTGCTGTTCTCCTCTTTCCAAGAAATCCAAACACTCATCCTCTAAGACCTGGGGATGATGCCCCAAATGCCCTACCTCAGGAAGGCAGCTTGGTGCAGAGGGAAGAGTGTGGGCCTGGGAGTCCTACTCACAGGAGAGCCTGGAACAAATGTCTTTGGATCTCACCTTCCACATCTGTGTGAGTGTGATGTCTGTATCACAGGGTTGTGGTGTAGGTTAACTGAGATAATATGGGTTAATGCTCACATTGGCATGGTGAGCGTCACAAAGGAAGAACTCAATTAATGCAATGTATATTATTAGCATGACCCACCCCCAACTTTCCCACACTCCAGCAGTGCCCCGAGGCAGTGAGAGCTGCTCCATTTTGAAGGAACAGGCCAGCTCAGGGGAGCCATGGCAGGTTTCTCTCCATGAATCTCCTTAACTCAACTAGAGGTGAATAGAGGAGGTAGCAAACAACCCAGGCCCTACTACCTGGGAGGAACTACCTGGGAGGAAAGGGCCCATGAACTTACCTGGCAAGAATCCTTTCCCTTTCCTCCATAGCCACAGATCATCCCTTTTTGTATTATTTCCCTAGAAGATAACAAGATCCTCTGCATCATCTCATTACATTTTTCCTTGCGGATGACAGATAGCTCCACCTCCTGGAGAATTTTTGCTGGAAAACCTTCCACAAACAAAGAAGATCAGCAGTGTGTGGATCTGCACAAGTGGACAGTAAGCCCCCAAACACCCAGTGTCCCCCTGGAAGAAGGCAGGACAGTGAGTATTGCCACAATTTGACAAAGGAGGAAACTGAGGCCCCAAGTTGACATGGGAAGAGGAGGATGTAAGAAGCAAAACCAAAACAGGAGCAGGAAGAATATTTCAGAAAAGGGAAAAGCAAGACCTTGCCAGCTTGAGAAATCAAAACCAAGCACCTGTCACTCTGAGTATCAGTGGTATTAATAGTGACAAGGTGTCCTGTGCATCAATAAAGCATCTTTACTTTCTAGAGCAGGATCCCCAGAAGGTATGCCCCAAAGGTACCAAAGCCAGCCTCTCCCCAGGGACAGGAGGCCCTACACCTCACAAACAGGGGTCTTCTGGCTCTCCCTACACTCCAGGGACGGGAAGTTCCTACCCACCTAAGCAGGTACTTCCAGTGAGGAGCAGCTCTGAGTGGCAGACAGCTCATCACCCCCTGAGCAAAAATTCACCCTCAAGAGAACTCTAGAGCATCTGGCTCTGTCTCCAAGGAATCTAAAAATACCCCCGAGTTCAGAATCCATAGGAACATGTTAAGAAACAAAAAAAGAAAATAATGAATAAAGAAATTATATATATTATAAAAAAATAATAAAATAAAAAATATAAAAATACCCCCGAGCCAGTTGAACACAGAGCCCCACAAAATCTGCAGGAGACTTTGCCCATATGTTTCTTCTTCTCCTGGTCGAGCAACTCCAGTTCCCAGGACAGGCAACTTTCCTAAATGGCTGCTATCAAATATTTGTGTTGCAACAAAAGAACCTAACCCAATTTCTGGGGTGACCCAAGCCAATCAGGAGCCATTACCCCGAGTGCAGCCAAACTGCTTCCCCCTTACTCACCTGCCACTCACCAGGTGGTCTACCTCCCTGTCCCTCCCTTAAGTCTTCATGTCCACTGTAGGGATAAGGCTGCCTCCCCTCTGCCCTGAGTTTGCCTCCTGCCTTGAAGTCTCACCGCCTTCTTGTGTTTTGCCCCATCCAGTCACCCAGCACCTGGTCCCAGATTCCACCTGGAAAGTTTCCCGAGGGATACAAATAGGCTGGATGTTCGAAGTAAAATTCACAGAGTAGACGAGCTGGAGAATGGCAAGGTCATGTTCAACAGTTGTAAAAGTTGCGAACTTAGGGTGGACAATGATCTTTTTAACAGGGACCACCAGACTTGTGTTTTCCGCAAGGATACTCCGATCTCCCATCTTCACACTGTAATGGTAACGGCTGTGGGAGAGAGGACATGCCCCTCATAGAGACCCTGGGAAACATCATTTGTGCCTTTTCCACACATTTCAGATGTTTCCCAAACAGACTCAACTTCCCTTGCCACTCTCTCTATCACCCAAATCCCCTCCTTGATCTCTCTCAAAATTGGTTTGTCTGCCCCTTAAGTAACAAGGCTACCGAGGCGGAACCCCTCCCATTTTATTTCGTGTTGTTGTCAATCTGCCAGGCAGCAGAACTCAGCGGGTGTTTGAGGAGGGCAAGACTGACTCCAGAACTCTCTCATCTCCACTCGTCACCCCTCACCTTATAATGCAGTGGGCCGCGGTCACCACCCACTTGGACGTGACGAGGGAGCCTCCGCAGATGTGCCTGCCGTGGATCCTCACGCTCACCTGCCAGGGCCACTTTCCTTCCTCTGCATCCTGTCCGCCCACGATTTTCAGGAAGGAACGGCCACATACTGGGGTGAGGACAGTGTCAGAAGAAGAACTCAAAGACGCAGGGCCTGTCTCCCCTGCGCCCAGGGCTTCCCGGGGAAAGTAGACAGCCGAGAAGGAGGCCACATCCTGCTGGACTCTAGGGCAGCGCCGCGCACTACAGACTTCCCGGGGCAGAGCCTCCCAGGCTCCCAGGCAGCCCTCGCCCCACCCTGGGCTCAGCCCCATCCTAGGACCCTGCGCGCCAAGAGTCACCTGGGGTAAACGTAAACAGAGAGGAATGGAGGACCCTCGGAGATTCCTGAGCCTCCAAAGGTGGTGGCGGCCATCGGTGTGCTACCGGGTCCTCGCGGCCCCCCGAGGAGAGAGGGTAGTGAGAAAGCGGTGGCTCGGGCCGGCCCGCTGGGGCCTCGCTGAGCCGGGGCTGAAGGATCAGGAGCCAGGCCAGGAGGCCCAAGGGGCGGCCACCCGCAGAAGCCATGGTACCGGCAGCCCCTCTCGCGGCGCCCTCTCGCGGCAGCTCGCGCCCTGCCCGGTGTTGGCGGAACCTGAGGCACCGATGGCGGCCGGGGCAGGACCGTCGGCGGAACACGAAGGGACGGGCGGAAACGGCGTACCCCTGCGCCGCCAGCTTCCTTGTCTGAGTGGGAAACTGATCTCAGTTTCACTCAGATGCTCGCTCCAGACTGTCCGGCCGGGACCCTGCCCGAAACCAAGGGGTTAGGGTCCTTCTGAGGAAACTCCCCTTGATAGAGACCTCCCAATTCAGAGTCGGCACTTAAAAGGCGGCGTTTCCTGATGCCCCTGCCCTTTCTGGTGTGGTGCCTGTCCTGGAGCTGGTGAGGACGGGCCGTCTGGGAATTCGTTGAGAAGCCCTAATTTGGGGCTTCATTCACTAGACTGAGATTTGGGGTAGGATGACTATATAGATTTAAGCAGATTAGACAAAGGAGTGGGCTGCTCTCTGTTTCAGGCATAGGGACATAGTAAAAATTAGCCACCGCCAAAGACACCTGCAGGTCAATTCATTCTTATTAGTTCTGTGTCCCTGGTGTCTATTCTGGTAACTCATCCTTTTGTCTTTGTTGCCGAAGTGCTTCCACCAAGCCTCTGCCCCTTTGGGTTTTAACATCCCTGTTGAAATTGGGGGGAAAACAACAACAATAACAAATTTTGAATTGCTGTACTTTCCACTTTTTCCTGGCCAAAATAGGACAGCCCTTACAGGGTTTTTCAAGGATAGCTCACTCCTCACCAATTTATTTTTCAAGGTCTTGGTGAAGGGGGTAGTCTCTAAGGCCTTCTTGGAGGTCAGAGGAGCGGGCAAGCAGGTCACACATCATGAATCCATTCCAATATTCTCTTCTCTCTCTTTCTCTACATCAAACTAGGAATTTCTGACATGTCACACTTGGTGGCCTAGTGTGGGCTAACATTGACTTCAGGTTTAAAACAACCAGGTAACCATGTAGAATCACTCTCACTTGCCTGGGCCAGATATCTGAACATAGAATTTCTAGTAAGTGTACTCCTAGTAAATTTGGGTCCAAGTCTCCCCAATCAAGAGTCCTTAAAATCCAATCCCATACATTTCCCCCAGTTTCCTTCCCATGTAAATGAGCAAAATATTGCCATCCTTTTTGTAAGGGAGCCATTTCCTCTTAGGTTATAGTTATATTTTGCACCTGTCCTACAGCATGGGCTCTGACTTTATTATTCGGTCTAGAGGCAGTTAAGACTGGGTGGTACAGGTAGAGATTTAGCATACCCTTATCATGTAACTCCCTCAGATGAAGTTAATACAGTATCTCTAAGGTGGAGAGGACCAGCCTTACCAAGTGGGAGGAAACACTGCTTCTGTTAGCAAGGGAGGTTCAATGTGGCTGGGATGTCCTAAATCTATCCAAATGTGCCCCAATTAAATTTTTAGAGTCTCACTCTTTCTAAAGTCAAAAAACTGCTTCTGGAACTATAGCAGAGAGGTCAGAAACTATATCCACTTTAAATTTATGTGGAAATAGTTATGTTATTTCTTAGTTTAACTTTTGACAGCATATTAACTATATAAAGAAGTTTGACATTACTTGTGATTCGAACAACATTAGTTATCAAAATGATTTTACATAGCACAAACAACAATAGAATACTAATACAGGATAGGATAGAGGAATAAGGAGGATATCATTATAAGGTCCTTGCACTATATAAAAAGCAAATACTATTATTTAGGAAGAAGGCAATTAAAAATATATCCTATAAATTCAAGGGACATTTTAAATAACTACAAATAAGATAATAGTGAAGATAAAACAGAATCATTTAAAAAACTCTGTTAACTTAAAAGGAAGCAGAAACAGAGGAAAATAGAAATAAGAGATGGAGCAAATAGAAAACAGCAAGATGGTAAAGTTTAATCTAACCATATTTTACTTACATTACAAGTATAAATGTTCTGTTAAACGAATTAATAATTCTGTTAATTTAGATGAGTTGTTTGTTTGTTTGTTTGTTTGTTTGTTTGTTTTTGAGACAGAGTCTCACTCTATTGCCTAGGCTAGAGTGCCGTGGCATCAGCCTTGCTCACAGCAACCTCAAACTCCTGGCTCAAGTGATCCTCCTGCCTCAGCCTCCCAAGTAGCTGGGACCACAGGCATGCGCCACCATGCCCAGCTAATTTTTTCTATATATTTTTAGTTGTCCAGCTAATTTCTTTCTATTTTTAGTAGAGACGGGGTCTTTCTCTTGCTCAGGCTGGTCTGGAACTCCTGAGCTCAAACGATCTGCCCGCCTTGGCCTCCCAGAGTGCTAGGATTACAGGCGTGAGCCACTGCACCCGGCCTGTTAATTTGTGTTCATGTTCTATTAGATGCATTAAAAGACAGCAATCATGAGACTGGATTTTTAAAAAATCAAGCCTCAACTATGTACCTACTTTAAATATAAAGATATAGGTAGGTTATAGGATGCAAATATTAATCAAAAGAAGTGGCTATATTACTATTAGACAAAGTAAGCATCAGAACAAAGAATATCAGGGATAAAAAGAAACATCAATTACATAATGATAAAGGAATCAATGCACCAAGAAGACAAAATTCTAAATGTGTATGCACCTAAATGTATCAAGCAACAGATCTTCAAAATACATGGAGCAAGGAGAAAAAGAAAATCGTAATTAGAATTTGAGGCTTAAACATGTCTTTCTCAATAGTTGATAGGATAAGTACACAGTAATTATATATAATACCTGTTAAAAAAAACTATCAATGAATTAGATCTAATTGACATTTATAAAATACCCTAACAACAGCAGAATATACATTTTTTCAAGTGTGCATGAAATTACACCAAAATAGAGCATGTTATAGGCCATTAAGCAAACATTAACAAATCCAAAAGAATTAAAACCATACAAAATGTGTCCTCCAGTCATAAGAGCATTAAATTAGTAAATTAGAAGCCAATAACAGAAAAATATCTTGAAAATTGCCAAATGTTTGGAAATCTCTTTTAAAAACACTTTGATTTTGGACTTTTAGAATGGTTGTGTGAGGAACTTGGCTGACCCTCTCTAGAGAATATACTAATTGGTGAAAATTATTTTTAAAAAACAATCATTTAAAGTCTCTGGGAATTGTCCTAGGGCATACAGAAAATTGAGAAACATTTATCCCCAAAAATCTACTAAATCCTGGTAAAAACAGCAACAGTCTGTGGCATTTGAGCCATGACCTGATTCCATGCCCCTTCCTCAGTTCTATATTATGGAGTTATACTCTGGGCAAGTGTAGCCAAGAAAATGGGGGCCAACTAGTTCTCTCTCTCCCCCTAGCTATGGTTTCACCCCAGGAGAATCGGGTTGCTAGTGCCTCATTCTCCCAAGATCCATTTGTTCTGTTTTAGCAGGCGTCACCAAGAGGACTGAAGCTCCCCTCTCCCACTTAGCCTCTACTCATAGGGCAAAAGCTTTTGCCCAGACAAAGCAGGCAAAGAATCACTGGGCTTCAGTTGTTCCTTCCCACTTTAGTCATAGGTCAGAGGTTCCACCTTGGAAGGGACAAGTGAGAAGACCAATGGATACCATCCCCCCTCCCCGTGCCCACTTACAGAACAGGGGTTAAATCCCACTAGAAGCAGACTACCAAGCCCATTCCAACACTCTAGCGCAGTGGCACAAATACTCTGCCCAGGAGGACAGGCAGGCTGGAAGGACAAGTGCTCTACGGCTATGCCTCAGATGACTGAATTTATTTGGAACAAAGGACTGATAAGTTCACACCTAAGGGTACTGTTAAAAACAATGGAGATCTACCTGAGGAGCCATTAAGAGAAGGTTAGTATTAATAGCTCCACAATACTAGCAGCAAAGAGTGTAATACCAACCCAGCCAGAAATTTAATGGGAGAAAACCAGTGAAAGAGACAACCAAAGAGTCCCTAGGATCACACACATCCCTAAGGATCTAAAACACAGTGCATGCACCAGAATACACCAACTCAGGAAAAATAAGAGCAAGAAGTAGAGCAGATTTAAATGCATTTCCCAAGCGACACACAGATCTGTCAGCAAAGGCAGAGGCTTTGCTGGCTCAATGGACTTAAGTATAACCTCTAACCAAATACTGCCTGAACAACAAGCTACTCTGACCTAGGGGCAACTCCTAGTAATCCAGGCCTAAAAATAAAATCATACTTATCCCTAGTGGGCTGAAAGACTGTGCACATTTCCAAGGCTGTGTCTTCTCAGGAGCAAATAGAGAACTTCTAAGCTACTAGTCCCTGGCTGAACATGTGGGAAAATAGTAAATTCCCTAAACTCCAAGCCACACACATACCCAATAGTAAATAGTGAAAATAAAAATGACTAAGGAGGCTTATGCACAGCCATCAAGCAATAAGTGGTTTATACTAATTCAGAAATAAACCCTAAGAAACCAAGCTAAAATATAAAAATAAAGGGGAAAAATCTGAGCAGGGATATCAAAGGCTGACAATTAAAGGGAAATAGACTTCATAGAATTATCTCACCCACTAAACAAATTTTAAAAACAAATTTAAAAAATGATGAAACAACAGTGCAAGTCAAGGGGGAGGGAAAGGGGAGGAATTGGTGTCTGGATTTGCCACAATATATTACCTAAGATGTCTTCTTTAAATGAAAAAATTGTAGGACATGCAAAAAAACAGGAAAGTTTGATAGAGTCACAGGGAAAAAAGCAAGTAATAGAAATTGTCTTTGAGGGGTCCCACATGTTAAACATACTAGGCAAAGACTTCAAAACAATTATTTTATATATGTTTAAAGAACTAAAGAAAAGCATGTATAAATAATTAAAGGAAGGTATGATAATTATGACTCATAAAATAGGGAATATTTAAAAAGAGAAATCTTCAAAAAGGAAATTGAACCATCAGGTAAGGGGGTGGGGAGGTGAGGAGGTGCGGGGTAAACCCACAGCTAATGGAAACGGGGCACACTATATGGGGGAAGGACACACTTGTAGCCCTGGCTCAAGCGAAGCAAACACATTTCATGTAACCAAAATGTTTGTACCTCCATAATATCCTGAATTTAAGAAAAAAAAGGAAAAAAATAAAAAATTCATGAGATGACCTCAACAGTAAACTTGAGTTGGACCAATAAACTTGAAGGTAGATCATTAGAGATTTACAATCTGGAGAAACAAAAACAAAAATTGAATGTAGAAAAGTGAACAGAACCTCAGATAAATGTGGAATACCATTAACACACAAACATTCACACAATGGGAGTACCAGGAGAGGAAAAAGAGACAGAAATTTAAAAATATTTGAAGAAATAATGGCTGAAAATTTCCAAGATTTGATGAAAAACATTAATCTACACATCCAATAAGTTCAGTGAACCCCAAGTAGGATAAACTCAAAGAGAGGTACACATCACAGTCAAAATATTGAAAGCCAAAGGTAAAGAGAAAACCTTGAAGGGAAGAAGAGAAAAATGACTCATTACACAAAAGGGAAGCATAATA